TAACACTCCATTAGGATCCCCAGATGGCAGCCCGGCTTGGACCAGGGCCCTGCTGGCTTAGAGGCTGCTCGGACCCAGTGGAAGCTGGGTGAACACAAGGCTTCTTTGCCCAGGCAGGGGAGGGGGTCACTTTCCCTCCCGAGGCCTCAGGGGTCTGTCTACGTTACCCAGAGCCGATCACAGCGCACACAAAACCAAAGAGACATAGAAGATTGCTAGCGGAGGCTCACGCTGCCACACCGCTCCCTTTATCCAAGGCACTGTATGAGCTGCACCTGGGGTAAGCACCTGAGGGAAGGAGAATCGTCCTTTCCTGGCAAACGCAGGGGTGGCAACCAGCGCTCTCTGACCTTGAAGCTGGAGAAGATGAGCTCGGGCCCACCCTACCTGCTCCGAGCAACTGTGATGAGCGAGCGCAAGATGAGCTGCAGTGAAACAGGGTCTTGTTCACTCGGGTTAAGCACAGCCGAACAACTCGAAGTTCCCACGAATACACTGACCTTTACCCTGCCTGCCCAACACCTGGGACATGCAGCGCCCTTGCCTCATGCCAAGGAGGGAAAAAAAGGATGAAAGAGTTCTTCCTCGCACATGACATTTTGGACATCTATTTATGTAGTGTCTCTATGGGTAGGTGGTCATGGGTAGATGTTCTTCTAGCAGAAGAAAAATATTCGTGAGTTACATTTCAAGAATCGAGAGAGACATATATTACCAAAATGTTGAAAAGAGGAATTCTTCCATTAACTCTTTATTTCTTGGCTCAAAAGAACGATACGCTGGGTAGACCATTCTGCTACCCACACAGCAGCAAGGCTTACCCTCCACTCAGCAAGGGTTCCAGCGACGATGGTTTTACCAAGTATTCTGACCAAGCCAAATATCAGTAAGTGTCCAGTGCCTATAAGGTGCATAAACTACGCATAAAAAAATCCCCACACCAAATCCAAACAAAAACGAACCCTCTTTCCAAAAGGCTAAGCCAACGTCGAAACACGTCTTTCTATTCATGAAGCATTTGCTTACTTTTTCACCGTATTTTCTGGATATAGGATTCTCTGCTTCAGTTTTTCTCATTGCCAGACTGTCTTATCAAAGTCATGAGAATAGGCTTACTCATGCATAACTTTCACAGGTGAATTTGAAGAAGTTTGCTAGTGAGAAAGTATAGAGAAGCATGTTAATGAGAACTTAACATGTTATCACCATAAAATTTGGGATGTAGATAAATTCATTAAAATGCTTGGTTAAAGTATTTTACTGAATGAATACCACTTGGTGGGAAACTTTGAATTCCTAACTTCCATGTCAAAAGTAGAACTGTAAATGTGGCCCAAGTAGTTTTTGTAAGATTAATGCCTTAAGATTTCTGTTCTATTTCCTATGAGTGTGTTTCTAAGAAAAACGGCTCCAATGCTTGCGGTTGACCTTGACCTGGATGCTGTGACTTGGTGGAAGGTCCTCACAGCCCTAGGGAAGGTGGCAAAGCTGAGCTGAGTGAGTCTCCGGGGTTAGGACGCTGCGGGTTCGCATGGAACCTGGGCCGGGGCAGGGATGCAGGGCCAGCTCCCAGCCCACTCATATTTGCACAGGGAGCATGGTGCGAACGTCACGCCTGCCTCTGGTGTGGAGTGCCGCTCCACCGGGGATTCTAGTTTAGCAGTTACTTTAATCACCCTCTCCCTGGAGAGCGAGTGGCCGTGTCTCGCTCACACTCTCCCTGTGGCCCTGTCCAAAATGAGCTGGCACATCAGGCACCCAGTCACCTTCCCTCCCTCATGGTCACCTCGCTGCATTTTTGCATCTCTGGCTAGTCAGTCAACAAATACCTACACAGCTGCCACCTACGGATCAAGCTAAGAGTTAGAGAGGGCTATAGGGGCAAACGGAAAAAGCAGCTGGGGTGAAACAAAAGAATGGACAGGACAGTGTGAAAGGGGACAAGAACACCTAGGCTCTCAAAGAGGGAATCCATAAAATCTTCAGAAGCAAGAACCCAGCTGACGCTTCTATTCCCCCAGCCCCTGCAGCAGAACTGCACAGAAATCCAAGCAGGTGTGAAAGAAGCAATCAGTGGTGATAAAAGAACAACGGAGAGGTAGCAGGGCAAGACTATCTGAAAGGGAGCAGCACGCTCCGTTATCTACTTCCCAGAGGGACCACCCAGAGAACCTGCAGCAATGAGGAGGAGGGGAGCGCAGGGCGGGCGCCGGAGGGCTGCCTGGCGGAGCCGCTGCTCTGCCTTCTGGCTCGGAGTGCCGCAGGCGGCAGGGAGAGGCTGGGGCCGGGACAAGAGGGACAGCGTAACTAAGTGGGGTGTGCGCACACACATATACACACATACACGTGTGCACACACACAGTTGCACCAGCCGACAAGGGACAAGGAAACTAATCTCTAGGTGGAACAGGTAGGAAATGCTACTTAAACTCTGCTTCTGATATACCCTTGAATAGTAAAGACTGAATTTTGAACAGGAAAAGCAAATTTTAAAATCATGTGTTTGGGTTCTGTGTGGCCCACGTGTATCTAGCGTTCTTTTTATCAACAGGCAGAGATGGAGTTTACCTTCTCACATTCTCCCGCAAGGCTGACAGTGCAGGACTCCTCCCAGCACCGTGACTGGCCGAACGGAACACTCACGACTAACATGTTGCATTCCTGCAATGGCTCAGCGTGCTGTGCTGTATGTAATATTGCATAAGCCCTAACCCACCCCGCAAAAGCATTAGCCTTCTTCTATGACACAAGAGGAGATGGTCCATTATACGCCTGTCTTGGCCAAGGTCACGTGGCTGAGTGGGTCAGTCAGTACTCAAACCCCGGCTCCAGATCTCTTCAACAAGCCTGGGGCCCTCCTAACTGAGTGGTGTCCGCCCGGTCTCCAGCACAAAGCCTTTCTTGATCCTTCCAGCCACGTGTCTCCTGGGTCCGCTGCCACTTCTGCATGTGACCAGCACCAGGCCAGCTTTAAGAACCTCAGAGGCCAGAGGGGACCATGCCCCATGTCAGAGAAAACACATGAAAGAGCATCCTCACATCACTTTAATGTTTTTCTGTGAAGTGTTTGGGGTTTATAGATTTGCTTTGAAATTCTCATTTTAGGGCTGGCGATATGGCTCCAGGACAGAGCTCTTGCCTGGTACTTGTGAGGGCCCTGGGTTTGATCCCCAGTACTAAAAGTAAAAGAGGAGGAGGGAAAACAAATTCCCATTTCATTTAGAAACTACTTACGCTGATTCAGCGATCTTGTGTACACTTGAGAATCTGTGAGTTATAAGAGGGACTGTAGGTTGCTTCCGACTGTGACAAAACCTACTGTGCTTATTAATAGGTATTAAGAGGGATGCAATTATACAGAGCTTTATATATTTATTAATCTCAACTTGCCGGGGTCCTCTATTGCCTACTTTGGAGCCTGTAAACATGCTTTTTGTCAGGCCTCAAAGAATGTTGCAGGGCTTTGAAAAGCTAACAGGTGTTATGCCTTGTGCCTAAACTCCCTGACAGATGAGAGTGCTGAGCTTGCTTCAGCCGGGCGCTGCTTGGGAGGCTACCACTACAGACCTGAGTATCCAGCCCCACATCGCCGTGACTTTAAGCTTAACGAAGACAACGTTTTCTGTCCGATAATTTTTATAGTGACTAGCACAGCTGCCATAGAATGAATGCTTAATTACTCATTAAAATATAACTCACAAATAAATCCAGGGGCTGGGGATTTAGCTCAGTGGCAAAAGCGCCTGCCTGGCAAGTGCAAGGTCATGAGTTTGGTTCCCGGTACCGGAGAAAAACCAAAAAAAAAAAAAAAAACACACAAAAAAACAAATAAATCCAAACACTATTTTAATTACATAGATCCTAGATCAATATCCCCTTCCTAAAATATCAACGGTTATTTGAAATAATACTACTAAAACTTCTTGAAATGTTTGAATGGTCCTTCTAAAAACAAAAATCTGCTTGGGCCAGAGATGGTGGCGCTCCCTCGTCATCCGGTACTTGGGAGGCTGAAGATTGCCATGAGTTCGAGGCCAGCCTGGGCTACACAGTGAGTTCAAGGACAGCCTGAACTGCATAGCCAGACTCTGTCTCAAAAACAAAACAAACAAAACAATAAAAAACCCCACTGAAACAAAAACAAAAAAATCTGCCTTATCTTCATGGCTTTAAAAGACGGCCCAAATAAATACAATAGAAAGCAACAGAAAGGAGGAGGTTTTAGAAGTTATTCCACTTGCAGATGTTTGTTTTATGCATAGTAAGCCACCGATTTCCTTCTAAACACTTAGACATTCTATATCCCTCATACAGCAATGGTTTTCTGTTACTGTAAGTGCTCTTGGGCACAGAGAAATCTCCACTGGTAGCACACAGATTTTACACAAATGCACTCTAGGAATATGAACATTTTTAACACATGTGATAAAGTCGGCATTACTCACACACCCAGCTGCTAAGTTTGGGGAAGAGCAGGCTAATGCTCCGCGAGAGATAAGGGCAGCAAGCCACAGCTTTTTTGCCAGAAGTTCCCACAATCTTGCACAACTGCAGCAGAAAGTAATAATTCACTAAAAACACCTCCATCCCACGTGTGCTGAAGTGGACGGTAAGGGATTTGTGCGAATAACTAAATACGCATCTTCGAGCACCCACTCTCACCGGAGATGTTCACCCCGGGGTACAATGACTGGCCTGCAACGGAGCTGTGGCTTCTAGATCCTTTCTCGTAACACTGCTCATCTGGACTCTTCTACATGTCACTTTCAAACTGAATCACAGCCCCCGTCTTACCTAGGACAGGCCCAGAAGTCAGACTTCACGGGGCTGCGAAGGAAGTGCAGTTTAAACCTTGCCAGGGTGCCATTCTCAGAGACTACCCAGGTGACTGAAACTGATCCCGTGCTTGCCTGAAAACCCAGGTGCGGGGCAGGGCGGGAACGACACGCAGGGAGAAAGCTGGGGTCGTTTCGGGCCTTCCCCCACGCCCAGCAGCCTACCTCTTCCCATTGCTGTCCCTCAGCATGGCTTTCCCCATCACCCTGGACTTGGTTTCCAGCTCCTGCACCTCCTCCAGCAACGTCTTTTTGTAAGTGTGCTTGGCCCTGTATCGAGAGAAAAAGAGCAAAAGAGAAAAACATGGCATGAGAACCCGACACGGCTGTCCAGTCTGGTTACTCCTGGCTCTGCACACCTGGATACCCTCTGGTGAGGCCGAGGCTGGACCTCTCGGCACACTCACAGTCCTGCAGACAACACAAGCCCCACCAGCACAGCCCAGAAGCATCCGCAGCGCGCGGGTGAGACCCAGAGCACACACGGCAGAATTCATCCCCCAGACGGCTGACGGTCTGCAGGCCCAGCTGGGATGCCCACTATGCCAACCAAAGAGCGTGTGGGGCCCACGCAGACCCAGGGGTCGGCCCGGAGGTTTTTCACTGCAGCGCCCACAGGCCCAGGAGGTGCCTGAAGCCCTGACCCTGTGGACAACAGTGCTCCCGGACCAGCTGCAGTCAGAGCGCCCAGGGGCTAGCGTTTCCTCCCTTCCGCTTTGGTGGAAAAAGTCAGTGTCGCAGAAGGAACGGGGGTTATTCTGCCGCTCAGAGTGCTGTCTTCTATTTCCTCATTAAATAAATTGTGTGTGTGCATTAAACAGCTAAGAAACAACGGAGACTAAACAAAGCCAAAACTGAACTACTGGGTGAAGAGGACATAGAAGAAAAGGGATTTAGTAAGGCTGGGTTAGATAAGAGAAAAGAAACACTATAAAGTGGAGGCTTACAGATCAGTAAGACCGGCAGTTTTCCCTATTATGAAAAGAGCTGTATCGGTCTCATTTCCTTAGAAATACAAGTGAGGAGCCCAGGAGGCACCAGGACTCAAAGACCTGGTAACTACTGAGCACATCTGCATAGAGGTGAAAACCGTGTCCGTGGACCCTCTGAGGACGAGGGCGCTTTCCACAGGGGCCTGTGTTCTCCTCCAGCCCTCCAGCATCAAAGACAGAAAGCCCGTTAAGATAAGGCCGAGTCACCCAACACTCCACGTTAATCTGTAATGGGGTATCAGCCAGAAGGCACTGTATACGCGCCTGTCATCTTTCCCCACAAAGTAAACAAGAGAAAGGCACACAGGTTTCAACACCTAATACCTTCATTACTGCAGACGGTGTTCTGAGACCCAGGATTGATAAAATACTGCAGTTCAAAGCAGAGACTCTGGAATTTTAAGTTAAAAAAATAAACGAGAAAGGCCAATATTTTGCTGGAGATAGTGAAATAGGATGTTGCAATGTATACTGTTCAGTACTACTGAATATTTTGGGCTCAAGCTTTTATCTCCTGGGCTTGTGGGGCTCTCTTGATAATAAATGAAGAGTGGCATGCCCCACCCACTCAGAAGGACCCTGAATCCACAGGTGCTGGGTAGTCTTGCAGGAAGATTGAAGAATGAGCTTGGAATGGTTTAGATCTAAACTATTCTTCAGGATTCCCCGCCGTTAACTTCCAGAGCAGGACAGAAGAGGGTCGCTAAGGAGGAGTCGCTGGAAGGCCCACTGGGCTCAGGGGACTGGAAACCCATAATTTGGGCCAAGTAAAAAAGAATGTGACACTGAGCACACTGGCGCTGCCAGTTTTTACCATTCACTAAGTGGCCTAGGAGGGCAGCGGCCTGGGAACCTCCACGCTCCCAGAAATCTCAGCGGGGGAAACTGCACCCAGAATGAGGTTTACAAGGCAAGTCGGCACACTTTCTGCAGGCCGGCTCCTGTGTGCTAGCCTGCGAGCTGCGCCGCTGTCTGAGTGCGCTGGACTGCAGCGCCGGCGACGGTGTGGCTGTTCTGTCTCTCCGCGGCACTTGAAGGGATGCTAGCGATGGAAATCGTTTTCTCAAGCGCCTCTACCTATTAAGGCCCAAGTTAGAAAAAGGAGTCTAAAATCTCCCTGTCAAAGTCTCCATGAACTTATTTATAGCTTATCAAGTCAGCCTTTTAAGCATTAGCTACTGGCGTGTAACGTCGTCTGGCCAAGAGTTGAGGTGTGGGTCACACCTTTGACAGGGTAAGTCTGATTATCTGCAAGCGGCCTAGCTGTGGTGGCCAGGGCTTGGTTCATCTCACCCTGCTCAAGACACGAGGCCCCCAGACATGGGACAGAGGGGGGCGTCTGGCTACTGACAGAGGCATCGATGTGAGCTTCCAGATACAGTGCAGACTATCTCCAGGCTGAGGGGCTCTAAAAGAAATACTTTCGTTTAGGATCTTGACCTTTTTATCTTCTTGTTTCTAAGACGTTTTTTCTGGACTCTTTGGTTTGCAAACAAGCCAAAAGAAAATGTTAAATTATAACTGTGTATGAAAGTGGAAATAACGTGCTTCAAGAGAAATTAGTATAGTTAGGGAGTTAAAAAAGCAACCCAGGCTCATTTGTAAGCAGAAATTGCTTATTACCTTTTATTGTCATTGAGCTGCCTATCTCGGATTATAACAAGGAAATGAAGTCATTCTGGAACTGGGGAACGAGCTGCATGATGCCTGGTCACAGAGAGGAGACGGAGTTTGATAATAGGAACCTGCTTCTGGGTTCCGTGGCCTTGAGCTCTGCATTATTTTTATAAAATAGCACTAAGGAATTTCTCCTAGATGAGAATTTGTACATGGAACTTACCCGAGCATCTGTCATAGGTGAACATTTTGGAGGAGTGCAAGCTAAAGGATATTAAAGTAGTTCGGGGCAATTTATACTTCATACTTCTAACAACACTACCTTAGCCAGGTATCACATGTAATCAATCAATTATTTTAGTAAAAGATAGGCCAGCTTGGGCCCTTAAAAATTCTGGTGGACAGGATAATAGGGCAGGCATTTTACAGCATCCCAAATCTGGCTTAAGGTAGTCTAATAATGCATCTTCATCCACAAACTTGACAGACTTCGTAGAAAAAAAGGACTGATTTACCTCATTCTGTTTTTTGTTTTTTTTTCTTACTCTTAACAGCCCAGGTCCTGAATTTGGAAGTGAGAAACTAGGAAAAAAGGGGGAAATTGAAGGTGAAGCAACTAACTCACATTTTTAGGCACCTGCAGAAGTCTGCAAAGGTGGGCCTGGGCTGTGTTAGAATTTAAAAACCCTTTAAAAAGACGGCATGACCACCTAGGTGTGGAGGTATGCGCCTGTAGTCCCAGCTACTACAGAGGCTGACGCAAGGGGATACCTTGAGCCGGGGGCCAGGAATTTGAGGCCAGTCTTAGCAACATAGGGAGATCCTGTGTCAAGGAAAAAAATGCAAAAGAAAAGGAAAGAAAACAAAAGAAAAGAAAGGAAAGCAAGGAAAGGAAAAGAGAAAAGGAAGAAAAGAAAAGAAAAGAAAAGAAACAGGATAAGCACCAAAGACAAAAACCATTTCTATGACCCACTCAAGGCAAGACAGAAGCACTGTAGCAACATCACCAGCTCCTGTTGTTACACAAATTCTTCAGGGCTGTGTACTAAGTCACCGCAGCAAGCACAGGTGCTCTGGGTCCTGGGTTCGATCACTAGCGTCTGCCCCCCACCAAAAAAGAAAAAGGTGTTCTTAACCTGTTCCTTAATTCCTGTTCATTAACCTAAACCTCTTCTTGTAATTTCAAGGTACATCACAGTGTATCACGCCTCAGTAAATATCAGACAGCTGAAACCAAGTGCTTGTTCAGTGTGCAGGAAGAAAAGAAAAACAAGGCATTTTCGAAAGCTGCAGCTCAGAAAGCGCAGTGAAACTGCGGCCTTACCGAAGCTGATCAATTCATTGCACGCTTTATCCCTTTGGAAAGAGCCTCAAATCTGCTTGCTCCAACAATATTTCGGGCTTTTCCTATATTATCTAATTTGGTGAAATCTCTCTCTTTGCTTACGGATGAAATTAAAGTTTGCATTATTTGGGGGCTTAGCTGCTGCTTCTATGTGGTACACAGCTATGGAAATTATATTTAGATATTATAAATTACATTATGTTTATGTATGTTTTGGAATGGGGTCTTGTCAGGTTGCCCAGGCTGTCCTCAAACTCACAATCCTCCTGTAGGCTCTGGAGTAGCTGGGATCACAGTCTCACAGACTACTGCACCCAGCTGGAAATGATATATTTGATTTTAATAGTGCTGGGTATAGGACACAGTGCTGGGTTGATGCTCTACCACTAAGCTACATCCCTACCCCAAAATGATACACTTTAAAACACAGAAGTAAACTGAATATGAATTCTTTGCTATTTAATCTACATTTTAATTTCTTTTTGTGGCTGATTTCCTTACAGACCTGTAAACTAACTCTCCATATGAATTTACCGGAAACATAATTTGAGCTAGAATATAGACCCCGTGATCAGAGGGATAAGACCCAGATAAATTCACAAGATTCTTGTTTTTGAGGAGAAGGGTGACTATACTCTGGATGTTAAATAGGTGTTGCAAACTGGGCAAATATTCCAGACGGCTTGAGATAGTCTGCCAGTGGACCAATATGCTGATATGCGCTATCTTTTCTGGTCCTTTAAATAAAACAAGACAAAAATGCTTCCTGGAAAGCGCTTCTGGATGTCAGTAGGAGCCATTCTGGCTCAGCTGAGAGTTGAGGTCTCATCACTCTGAGAGAAGCGGTGCTTCGGCCTGCAGCTGCCTCACAGGACAACATACAAGGCCAGCCTTCCTGCCCCTCCCTCCCACCACGCTTCCTGTGCACAGCCCCAGGGTCTGCTCCAGCTCGGCTGGAAAGCTCCTTGGAAGGAGAAGTGACTTTGTACTCTTTCCATATGGTGGAGCTGGAAGCAGCATTTTCATTTTTTTTTTAAAGACAGGGTCTTGCTGTGTAGCTCAGAGTGGCCTTGAACTTACTGTGTAGCCCAGACTGTACAAACTCACGGCAATCCCCCTGCCTCAGCCTCCCGAGCACTGGGATTACAGGTATGTGCCACATACCTAGCAGATTTATTCTTATTAAAATGTAAATGGTGATAATTTTACAGTGTGGGTCCTGCAACAGGACCAAAATCAAGTCTTGTTGGAGGGAACGGATAATCTGCTCCACAGACAGGGAACCTGTACGCGGAACGCACTGGAAAGCGTGCAGACACAGACCAGGAGCCACAGACTTCATAGTCTGTACTCTTGGAAGAAAGAATATTTTTGCTCGAGTCTCACTTGGCAAAATTAGTCTCAGTAAAAGATGTTTTCATGATATTAATTTAAGATAGCTGAATAAAGACAGTCTGAGACTAATTTATAAGCTCACCACTACTTTTCAATCACTATACACTGAAAAGCTATCTGACATAGCCAAGGCCATGTTATATTTATCCAAAACTGACTAATACTTGCAAACTTCAACAAATTCAGGTAGGGAATAAATATACTGTGCTACTGGCTCGAGGAGCGAATGACAGAACTCACAGTGCAGCTATTAGATTAAGAAAATAGCTTTCTTGGCCACCACCTACGTTTCATTTTCAAGGATTCTGATTCTGCTATTTACAGAACACAGTCTCAGCCAATACAATGGAAGCATTTAAGAAGTTCTAATTATTTTTTATTAATAACTGAAAAATTAAGGGAGCAGCAGGAGAAAACAAAGATATATGCTATAAAAAGTGAATACTATAAAATTCTTCCCCGTTTCTTTCTACATTAACTATGATGGTTGTCAAATCAATGCCAAAATGAGGACTTTTTCAAAAGACATCCTTAACTGTCAACCAAGAATAATTTTCATCCAGTGTGGGAGGTTGGGGAGAGAAAAATGAAATTTGATGTCTTTTCCTGGAAGGTTTGGATTAAAGTCTCAATTCTCTACCTTAGGGCCTTAAAATAATTGTGCTTTGCCCGAAGTAAAGCCAAGCTAGGACTCTCAATGTTCAGGGAAGCTGGAAAGTATTTGTAGGAAGTGTTGGGCCCATTCACACCAAAATCAAGATTATATCATTTGGAGCAATCTCTCTTTTGCTCCTGGATGAAATTAAAATTTGCATCACCTTGGGACTCAGCTATTTATTTTTTCACATTGCAAGGAGACATTTTATGAATGATGCATTTTAGAACAGAAACAAAAATTGAGGATAAAATTATTTTCTTAACCTGCACTATAATTTCATTTCTGTGATTTTATTTTTTTTTTTTCATGAACCTGTAATTTAACTCTGTGGAAGAATTTTATTGGAAAGAGTGCTTCTGTGGATTGTTTGGAAAAATGAAGATTTTTTTTCATTCTTGTCATCTGCGATGACTTGCATATACACAATTTTCCTGTACACATACGATTTACAGCTGGGCCATGCTCGTGATCATTTATCATCAACAGTTTAAGATATTAAAAAAAAAAATTTAAACATACTCCCTAAGCTTGAAGGCATGACTCTATATTTAAAACGCCATAGACAAGATAATCCTCCTATTTACTTTCACCTTCACATAGTCTCTCTCAGAACTTTCTGTTTATCTGAATTTTCATGTTGGGGAAACACACTTTTTTTAACACAACACAACACAACACTTCCCCTGGCAGGGGGCAGGAGACCTGATTCTTTGACTTCCCCATATCCCTTCATATCCCGGGCCAGAGCGCATGTGATCCGCTTGCGGGGACAGATGACCGAGACTTCGGGCTACAAATGATTCCCACTTACGCTCGCCACGCCACGTCTTCCATCAGACATGCAGTGGGAACCAGGAACAACCCCAGCCAGAAGTGTGCAGAACTCAGGACCATAGCTGCCTGCAAGAAACAAAAGTCACAAATACATTAAAGCATTTTCTTTTAAAGATAGTGCGAAGCAATTTAATTGGTATAAAACACCATGCAACACAGAAAAGAGCAACAGAAAACAGGAAATCCAGCAAAAGGTAAAAGGTACCCAAAGGGGGGCGGAGAGGCTGGCTTGGCTCCGTTATCTGCAACGGTGCTCACCACCACTGTTTTACTCTGTCCTGTGTTGTTTCTATTCTGTAAGGAGCCTCGGCCCCTTTCCCATAAGAACGCTATTCTAAATCCCTCCTAGAGAGAAATGCTGCTGGAGCTGCAAAGCTCCCGTGGAGTAAGTTCGGTTTCACGGCCTTCCTCCATTCATTTTGCTGCTTGACGTCCTTCACAGCTCTTCCGGTCAAAAACCAGCTCTAGTCTCAGCTACCCGGTAGGGCTCTTCCCCACCGGAAGAGGGGATTCACAGGTTGGCATCCCTGGCTTCACACAAGCTAAACCCACGTGGTGTGATCTGCGTGATGCACTAGAGTACGGCATATATTCGGAAGAGAACCTATGGGGTTTCTGGGAAGAATTCTTGAAGACAGGATGAGACAGGATGTGGGACATGCTGGAAACATAGAAAGGATTACAACAGTTGGGAGAGGCGGAGGGCCAGAGGTTCCAGTGGGGGCGCGAAGGACAAGGGGGAGCAATGCAGAGGAGCATGGGACTTTCTTGCTCCTGGCCGGGAAGTGACAGATGGCCTAGGATGTAGAGGGAGAGAGGGTTTCGAGGGGCAGAGCTGCAGGGCTAAATTAAACGTCAGGTGAGAAACTCTGGACAGAAGCACGGGGAGGGAGGGGCCAGTGCAGACTCCCGACATGTTGTTATGAGTGAGTCACATCCGGGAACACGGAGCAGCCCACAGCTGCAGCCTGGAACCTTGCAGGGCGGCTGCTTGGGAAAGCGACCAGAGGGAAGTGCGACTAGAGACCCTTCACGCTTGCTGGTTTGCTTTTCTGGACTCTGCAACCATTTATCCTATTGGAATAGACAGATTTTGCTAGAAATGTTACACCGTGAGGCAAGCCTTCCAGAGGAAAGGGGAACAGAGGGGCCGAGACATGATAAACTCCAGGGACCCTGGGCCTGTCTAGGAGGGGCTGAGAATCAGGAGGCCCCCAGGAGACTTCCTTTGTGCTGGATGAGCCTGGATCCACCCTGGCGCCCCTGGCATGCAAGGGTCAGCTCGTTCTTTGATTTGCATCTTTTGCTCCAGCAGGCAGAAGCTGGCCCTTGAAGCTCTGTCTGTCTTGCAGTTTCTCACAACATCCTGAACCCCGCAATCCTGAGCAACCACCCCAGCCAGTCTGGCCACGCCCATGCCTAAGCAGGTCCTTTGCCTCCCAGCTCCGTCACATGGTTCTTGGCATTTATGACAGTTAAACTGACAAACAATGAGGTTTGGGGTAGAAGTGCCCAATGCCGACCCTGGCATGGGAACGCCTGCTTTCCTCTCCCACAACTAAGAGTGCTTGGGAAAGAAAATATGAGCACATTTTGCCATACCAGTTATATATCTCAGCATTCATCCTAAGAAAGGAGAAAGTGGGTAAAGAAGGAAGTCAGGAGTATTCGAGATTGTGCTATATTGGCAAAGAAATGAGAAATAAATACCCAAGAAGGGACTGATGGGATACATGGCAGCACCTGCACACACTGCACTCCGTGCAGCCAGGAAGAGACACACAATTGTATGCTGAAATAGAGATGTAATACGACGCTGCTAGTGAAAAATAAGGGCTCTAAGACAGCTTCTAGGAAACCTACTGTGCAGTTGAGAAACGGAAGAGCTGTTGGCCCAGGAATTCAAATTAGATTTGAAATGTTCAGAAAAGGAGCCAGGGAAAGTAACCCTAAAACGTGAATCCTTGAGATGCTGAGCATTTTAAACCAGTCCCTTGGGACTGACAGATGCTAGATACAGGCTTTTCTCTGCAGTTTCCTATCCATCTAAAGACCAGAGTCACCAATAAAGAACACAGCTGTACTTAATCTTCTTACTGAAATTTCATTAACCAAGGATGACTGAATTCATATCACAGAGGATGCAAAGGGTCCTGGGTTTGAGCTGTAGCACTGAAAAAACAAACAACAAACGAACATAGAGGAAGAGACCAAAAATCAAATACCATCCCCAGCACGCAGAGGAACCTTCTCCCTTTTGGCTCCTTCTTGGCCCTAAGAATCCTTTACTCTTGCTCTAAAATCACCTGCATTGTCTTCCTCTCTCTGTCTTCTGGAGCGGGTATGTTTTCGTTTAATCCTAGAAAGTCCTCTGAGAGTCTCACGTTCAGAGGTGGAGCTTTTGGAAGGTGCGTGGGTCCTAGGAAGGGTCACACTCACCCATGGGTTAATCTACGGATGCGTTTATAGATGAATTTGCTCGTAGGAGGTGGGACCCCGTCGGCAGGGAGCTGAGCTGGAAGAATGTACTGCTGTCCCTGGCTCCCCACTTCTTTTGCTGCTTCCTGGTCCCCTGAAGCTAAACCTGTCATGCCCTTAGCTTCCTGCTTCCAGCTTCCAGCTTGCCTTGCGTCTCCGAGGAGACTTTGTACTTGGATGTTTCAGCAGTGCTGGAACTGTTAAGATTTGCATAACTATTAGAGATAGATTATAATGTACCTTGTATAATGAGATAGACACGGACCTTTTGGTGGCCAGGGGCTGAATGTTATGGTTTAGATCTGGAATGTCTCCCGAAAGGCTCATGTGTTCAGAAGATGATTGGCTCATGGGGACGCTCTACTCATCAGGGGATTAATCCATTGATATGTTCATGGTTAAGTGTGCTTTCGGGGGCGGGGCCTAGGTGGAGGTCGGACACTGAGGGTGTGGCCTGGAAGGATGTATTCATGTCCCTGGCTCTTCCCTTCCCTGCTGCTATGACGTGAGCAGCCTTCTTCCTCCAGCCCCTCCTCCACACTGCTTCTCTCTTGGAGCCGAGCAGCCATGGGGTGAAACAGTAAAGCCATGAGACAAATAAACCCTTCTTTAAGTTGTGGGTGTTGGGTGTTTTGTCCAGTGATGGAAAATTGACTAATACGGGAAAATAAACTTCTAAGCTTTTAGACCTCTCCGGGTACTTGACTTCTTGTGTTAATCCATGCATATGAACAAATTTATACGTGTCTTCTCTCATTGATATGTCTAACCCAGTTTATTAAAAATACTACAACCTTCAAAAGGGACAGGGAGAAATTCACCTTACCCAGCCACATTACACCAGAGGTTACTCTGTCTTTGTCATTATACCTATGCCAATATACATGAACATACAGCATCCTCTCTACAGTCCTTCCTTGGTATGCCCTCATCTTTAAAAAGCATCACAGGACTTCAAAAACAGTGGGGTGGCCCCAGTCTTGACAGTAATGACCCAGCCTCATATGTACATATTCCAAAAAGCACACAGAACAGACGTCAAATCAGCATCTGGGAGGCACAACTAGTGATTTGCATCCTCATATTTTTTTGGTCTATCTCTACTTCCTATTTCTCTTGCACGAAGAATGTTTCACATAAGTGGTGGAAAAACTCAACTTCCCCTCTACAACCAGGAAAATTGTAAGAAGGGGCTTGGATGAGCCTGCTTGGGAGGAGGGTCTCCAGTCTGGCAGAATCTGGCATTTTGTTCTTGCTGCAGAGGCCAGGCCTGTAGAAGGAGGACCTGGGCAAGCCCTGTGTGTGAGGGTCTATGCAGGATCTCTGCTAGGCATATTTGTCAAAGCACATAGACATTTCACAAAATAATGCTTTATTTACAACAGATTCTGAAACTCAGTAAGATTAAAGGCCCCTTCCAAACGAACTAAAGTTAGGCTGACATTTGGAAGTATTGTTTTGTTGTTTGGTTTTAAAACTAGGACCTGGGAATAAAACATAACATAACATAACATAACATAACATAACATAACATAACATAACATACAATATAATAACTTTATAGGTGTGTCTCAAAAACTTTCTGATCTGATTTTCACAGATTGAGATTTGGGGTCTTGAACCCCTTTTAAGCCCACAGCTTTAAAATATTTTATTGAGCTGGACTTGGTGACAAATGGCACTTAATTATATCCCTTTCCAAATGCTGAGAAGTGAGGTTTTAATACAAACTATGAGGTGCTAATACGCCCAATGAAAAGAACCCACTTTCAATTAAGAGGACTTAGCTAGCAGCTACTAATTGGTTAGTAACTATGTCCAAGGTTTGGGAACCCAAGAGGTAAACCAGAAGAAAGTGGGCGTGGCTGGGTGGAATAGCGGATAAATCACAACACAGGCTGGTGGGAGGCAGACACAGGAACTGGAGGAAAGTCTGATGACAGGACCAAGGAGCTGCTCAGCACTGCCTTGTGCTGGATGGGAGTATTAGCTGAGGACACACAAGCCTGGAGATCAGGGATCACATACACACCTATCCATGGTCTCCCAGGACCAGCCTTTACCAGGAACATGGCGACACATGAGACAATGGTTCAGAAGGAGAGTGGAGTACTGGAGCTGGGTAAAGTTGCTCGATGTGGAGTGAATTTGACAAGATGTGACAGAGGTGAGAAGGCAGCAGTTTCCTTGCAAGAAGGAGGCTAAGATTTCTTTGTGCGTCACGATGGGCCAAGACTTCCTCTAACGCACTGCCTTCAACCCTCCACAGGGCCCATTTTAAGAACAAAAAATACCATCTGTGATTTCTCCCAAGCACCTGTCATGGCCAGAGTACAGAGTCAGACAGATTCAAGTTGAGGTTCAGTCTGCCCCTGAAACCTGTTCCTGGCCCTGAGTTTGAGGCAGAATGAACTTCCTTTTCTTCAGCTGTATCTCCAGAAGAGAGGGGAGAGAAGGCATCTAGGTTTAGTGTCAGAAGTTTAATTCCACTTACCATCCAAAACACCAGGCATCAATTGAAATTTTAAGTTCACACACACACACACACACACACACACACACACACACAGAAAAAATTCAAGTCCATC